TAGTTTTTTTTTTTTTTAAGATTTTATTTATTTATCTGACAGACAGAGATCACAAGTAGGCAGAGAAGCAGGCAGAGAGGGAGGGGGAAGCAGGCTCGCTGCTGAGCAGAGAGCCCGATGGGGCTCGATCCCAGAACCCTGGGATCATGACCCGAGCTGAAGGCAGAGGCTTAACCAACTGAGCCACCCAGGTGCCCCAGTAATTTTTTTTTTTTTAAATGGTCCTTTCCTCTTAAAGCTAACAGGGTACTGGATATATGCTCCAAAACTATCCTTTCTTTTGTGTGATTCCACGCTCATCAAGGACCCTTTGAAATATAAATTCACCCTCCCCAAAAGCTTAATACTCATAAAACAAAATACTACCTTGCTGAGATCAGCTTTCTGGTTAAAGTATCAGCATACCCCTACTGAATTTAAAATTAATTAATTAGCTTGAGTGAAACCCCAAAGCCTTGATCAATTATGATTGCTGGTGAGATGTAATTTCTCAACCTTCAGAGCTGAGAATCAAATACAGGTGTGCAGTTATGTCCAAAGATGATAACTGCCAAATGAGTTGCTAGTTTACCCTCAGGCAACATGGCGTCATTTCATCATGTCCTACCAGATGCAATTACAATCAACCTGTAAAACTGTTAAGCATAAATAAGATATACCATGTAACACTGGTTCTCAACCTTTAATATACATTCTGATCCCCTACAGATCTGCTAAAATGCAGACTGATTCAGCAGGTTAGGGGCAGGGACTGCGATTCTTCATTTCTGGTAAACCCCCGGGGATGCTCAGGCTGCTGTCCGCAGACCAGGACGGGATATGACACACCCGGGACCAGGTCTGGCACACAGGCTGCTCAGCCCAGCTAACTGCTCTCTCCCCTCCACCGATGTCTTATCTCCTTTACTGATCTCACCTTTTTTTTTTTTTTTAAGATCTTATTTATTTATTTGACAGCAGACAGAGAGCACAAGTAGGCAGAGCCGCAGAGAGAGGCAGAGGAACGGGAAAAAGCAGGCTCTCTGCTGAGCGGGGAGCCTCACATGGGACCGGATCCCAGGACCCTGGGACAATGACCTGAGCCTAAGGCAGCGGCGTGACCAACTGAGCCACCCAGTGCCCTGATCTCACCTTTCTTGAAAGTCAAGTTTTTTTCCTTCAAAATCCTCACCTAAGGAAAACACCCTCCGCAGGCATTCAACATATGTGAACAGAATGAATGACATCCAGCCTTTGTCATTACTTCTATAGTTATGGACAGAACTGTTTCTTCCTCTGGATTTATTCTAAATAGAAAAGTATTTCTGAAAAGTGAAACATCAGGAAAGCTTTTTTTTTAAGAAAGTAAAGAAAAAATTGGATTTGAGACACGATCCAGTGCGTTCTCGTGCTGACCTAATCAACCTTAAAATAATAAATATCCATAATTAACGTGTTCATTTATCTTGTTCCACTTTTTTATAAATAATAATGACGACGAAATCATTTGTTTTTTCTGGGGCAGTTTTTAAAAATGTGTCTTAAAGCGGCACCTGGCTGGCTTAGTCGGAAGAGCATGTGACTCTTGATCTCCTGTCGGGGAGTTCGAGCCCCACACTGGGTGTAGGAACTACTTAAAAAAACAAAAAATAAATAAACTCCAAAAAATAAAAATAAAACCCTTTAAAATCAGTCTTTAAAAAAAAAAAAAGTAATCACTTCCTTCGGATGTACCTTTTACTTTTAAAGCAGCACAGTAAAAAATGAGGCCATCTTCGTAAAGGTAACATCTAGAACACACTTCCGAGTCTTCAGACTTAACAGTCCTAAAAATAAACCAAATCGTATTCCTCTTATCCACAGGCAGGCAGATCTTCGGCCCAGTTTCCACGGTTTCTCCGCCGATTTTCTGTGATTTTAGCCACATGAGTGACTGACTACCTCAGGGCCGGTTTCTGCACTTGTAAATGTGAACCTGATGACACTTGGCCGCAGGCTGAGGGAAGGGACACGGGACACGGTGTTTGCAGCTCCCCAGCCAGGAAACAAGGACGAACTGTAATTTCATTTCCAAGATGTTGACCTCGACGGGTGGACGGGGTTTTGCCAGGAGTGTGCCCGTGGGCACACACGCACAGGCTGTTCCCTTGGAGCAACCGAGATAGGGGCCGGGACTCGGGCTGGCGCCGACACAACGTCAAGGGTCGCCGCGCAACGTGGACACCCAGGGTTCCGCCCGCGCGCCCGCCGCCCAGCGCCGCCGCCTGCGGGCAGCTCTCCCGCCCTCCTCACGCTGCCGCGCGCCGCTGCTCCGACCCGCCCCCTACGGGCGCGCGCTTCGGAGGCCGCAGCCGCGGAGGGGGCGCCCGCGAGCCCGAAGGGCCGTCCCCCCACGTCCCCCTCACGTCCCCACGGAGCAGGCAAAATGGAGGCGGCGAGCGCGTTCCCGCCGGGCGGGGCTGTCGTGCGGCCCGAGGGTCCGCCGGGCGCGGGCGGCCAGAGCCGGGCCTCCCCGGGGCCTCCCCGGGTGCCCGCAGCCCGGCAGCCGCTGGCGTGGCGCCTGCGGCACAGAGGCCGGGGCGAGACTGTGGAGGCGGGGTGCCGGCGGCGGCGGCGAACAAGGACGCCATTATCGGCCTCGCGCGCCGGAGCCGCGGCTCGGAGCTCCCGGGGAGGGAGGCGGTGGGGGAGGAGGAGCGGGAAGGGGGGGACGGGGGAGGAAGGAGGGGACGGGAGGAGGGAGGGAGGAGGACGGGGCGGGGCTCAGGCGGCGGCAGGGAGGCTGCGGGCGCCCGGCTGCAGGGCGCGTCCGTGGCCCCCTGCCCTGTGGGGCTTCTCCCCGCGGGGCCGACTCCGCTGGAGGGCGGCCCACCCCGCCCGGCGCGTCCCGGTGCGGGCCCGGGTCTTACCTGTGCCTTCCCTTTCTTTATCGTCCGCCATCTTGCTGCGGAGCCGTCGCCCGGGAGATGCCTGGCGTCACCCTAGGTCGTGGCGTCCTTGCCCCTTCTAGCCCTCGCGCGAGTCTGGCCTGAGGCACCGGCGGCTCCGAACCCCGAGGGCGGGAGACCCCGAGGCGGGGGCGGGGGGAGGCTCGTAGCGCGCGCCCCTCTCCCTCCCGCTCCCGCGCCCCCCCGCGCGCGCCCCCACCCCTTCCGCCCCTCTCCCGCGGTCCTCTCCGGCCGGGGGGGGGGGGGGGGGGGGGGGGGGGGGGGGGGGGGGGCGGTCGAGGGAGTGAGCGAGCCAAGGGCCCCGCAGGCCCGGCTCCCTCCCCGCCCGTGGGTACGACGGGTTTGGAAGCGCGGCCGGAGAGCCGGGGGCGGACCTCGCGGCTGCCCCGAGGGCCGGGACCCCGGGCGGGCTCGGGGGGCATCCCAGCCGGCACCCCGAGCCCGGCCGGCGGAACAACCGCGGCGTCGCCAAGGCGGCAGTGGCTGACACAGACTGGAAGGTTCTCATGGCAACGGAGACGGGCCCACCGGGCCGCCTCGACCCCGACGTGAAATGTCCTAGCTCGTGAGGTTGGACGTGACCTCCAGCTAAGGTTACTACTGAGAAGTTGTACCTGCCGCGTTTCTGAAGCTTCGCAGCTGTCGCAGGATGTTCCATTTTTGTCCTGGTTTAAGGATCAGCTCATTCTGCTAGAATGTTTTGTTTTGTTTTGTTTTGTTTTGTTTTTAATGATTTTCTTGAATTACGTGGTTCAAACGAATACACGATTTTGAAGCTAATCTTGGATGATTTTTAAGTGTTTGCCTATTAGTTTAAAGGACATTATGTGAAAATGTATGAACTGTTAACTAAATGTTGAAGCGTTCAGAGTACAAGGTACTAGTATGTGATGATTTTAACCTGCTCCTTTTATTCCGGTCCTGTAATTTCTTAGTAAACCCGGAAGCAAACTGTTCTTAATTAAAATAACATTTTTCTATAGAATGTACTGTTTGGTGCTGTGACCAGCATTCTCTTTTTTAAACTGATGAGAAACTATTGAATCATCACAAAATGGCTTCTGTTAGAAAATAGGTACTTACATAAAACGAATACGGTTGTTTACAGTAAATTCTGGACTTCCCAGAATATAGGAAAGTAATCTTTAGCATTGACATAATATTTAAATTTCGTAGTCATTATAGTCTGGTAGTTTGTTTTTAAAGACGCCCTCTTTGCATATAGATAATGAAGGGCTTTGAAATAAACGTAGGAAAACCTCAGCTTTGGGCTCCGGTTGACTTCTCACTCACTGTGCCTTCTCATAGGCTGTTTGCAGTTTCCTTTTTCTGGAATGCCCTCCCCCACCCCTCTCCCTGCCCTAACGTTCACCCTCCCACAGACACTGGGGCGGCTCCCTCCCAGTTGTCAGTGACCTCCTTGAAGGTCACCTGCTCCTTGAAGCTTTCCAGGTCAAGCTTTTCCTCGCATGAGTCCAGAACTCACATTCTAGAGCCTCTTCATTGATTTGCAATGACTTTGTATATTTGCTTGTACTGTAAGCTCTCAAGGACAGGAAACACTTCATTTGTCCCTGTATCCCCGGTGCCTACAACAATTCTTAAATTCTTGCATCTGAAATAATATATGTTTTTAAAAATTAAAGACTGGGGTTAGTCTTTCCAATGACTTATTAAGAAATGATTATTTAGGGGCGCCTGGATGGCTCAGTAAGTTAAAGCCTCTGCCTTCGGCTCAGGTCATGATCTCAGGGTCCTGGGATGGAGCCCCACATCGGACTCTCTGCTCAGCAGGGAGCCTGCTTCCTCTCTCTCTGCCTGCCTCTCTGCCTACTTGTGATCTCTGCCTGTCAAATAAATAAATAGAATCTTAAAAAAAAAAAAAAAAGATTATTTAGATTATTCCAAACCACATTAATTTCTACTCTGAATTTCTACAGCAGATTTAAGACCATACTGTTTCTCTAAATTGGGAGGAGTAAAAAAGCAGTGTATGTTAACCCCTCCCCTCCAGTTAGGTTTGAAGACAGAAGCCTGATGATATAAATCTTTTATGTAGTCACAGTACATCACCTAATTTGGGACACGTATTTGGAGATTAATACATATTTTTCAATTGACTAATTAGCTTATTACACATAAAAATGTATCATTATTCTGGAAAGCTCCACAAAACGGAAAAAAAAGTAGTTACCCAAATGACAAAATAGAGGCCCACAATACCAATGAGTAATTATCTACATTATGCTACCTGACTTGACTTTCCACTTGTCTTTGGTTGTGGAAAACTGACTTCTGATTGTTACGATTTTAATTCTTTTAAAATATTATTAGCTTGTTTTAAACAAGAGCAAATTAACCACAGCCATTTTTTATTTGTTTCTGAACTATGGCTTTGAGCACTCAAGCGCTCTTTCACTTAACGATTCTCAGAGTGATTTTTCTGAGTTTTTCTGAAATTCCAAACTGGAAAATTATTTTTGGTCCCACTCAGACATTATACAATCTCAGGGCTAAATCAAGCTAGCCTATTCAAAACAAAACAAAAGGGCATAGTTTTAGACAATGACATGCTTGATTAATTATTCAATGGGGCCAGGTTATGTCCTTTTGCATGTTTGAATTTATAGTGAGTTAAATCTTTTCACACGGGCACCAGTTCCATGCTAGTGAGGAAACACAGATGTTTCTTCTGAATACAATCGACTCAGTTACCTGAGAGGTGGCTGACATGGAAAGGATAAGTTGTGTGAGTAAGGCAAAATCATAGCCAAAAAATCTTCACACCATATCTACTTTCCTATTCTGGGGATAATTGAAAACTCCTTGGATAAGGAATAATTGAAAAAACAAAAACTGGATTTTCCTTGGGGATAATTGAAAACTCCTTGGATAAGGAATAATTGAAAAAACAAAAACTGGATTTTCCTTGGCCGTTGCCGTGGACTGACACGAGCCTAGGCAAGTCATTTATTTCATCTCTTTAAAACTCCATTAACTCGGGGCACCTGGGTAGCTCAGTTGGTTAAGCAGCTGATTCTTGGTCTCTGCTCAGGTCATGATCTTAGGGTCCTGGGATCAAGCGCCCCAGTGGGGCTCTGTGCTCAGCGTGAGCCTGCTTGTCCCTCTTCCGGATCTTTATCTCTAAACTAAATAAAATTTTTTTAAAAATATAAAGTAAAATAAATAAAGCTGTTAACTCATGGGGTGCCTGGGTGGCCCAGTCAGTTAAGTGTCTGCCTTCAGCTCAGGGCAGGATCTCAGGGTCCTAGGCTCTCTGCTCAGTGGGGAGTCTGCGTTTCCATTTCCCTCTGCCTGCCCCCCTCACTCCTGCTCTCTCCCTCTTCGTCAAATAAATAAAATCTTTTAAACAAAACAAAAACTCTGTTAACTCAGGAAAAAATGGCAATGTCCAAACTCCCTATCTTGGAGTTTTCATGAGACCCCATAGATGTAACTGCAAGCTTTTGGAAGCTTAAGAACTTGAAAGGAAATCCACTTTCTTTGAGATAAACCCCCATTTCCATGTAGGAAGGAGCCCTCTGAGGTCAAACTCCAGCTTCTTTCCTGAGAATTTAGCTTCCCTTGGGAGAGTTTGCTTTTCCAGGGCTTTCCTACACAACAGGAGGTGATCTGACTCCAGGCCTCACACCCTTCAGTTCGAGAACCTGCACCCCGCATGACATCTGGAGTCCTCATTCTAGAGCTTGGCATCTTCGGTGTGCGGCCCCTTCCTGGTTTCCACCTTCCCATTTTTAAACCTCAAGTTGAAGTGGCTTTAAGCATATCTCAACTCCTTGAGCTCTAGACCCAGGAAGTGAGAGGGAGGCAGTTACTTTCCCTGGTTTGTCTAATTCCAGTTTCCTAAAAAAAGGTTACAACCCTTCCCTAGATGATTAACATCAAGAAGGTCCAGCCCTGAGGCGTCTGTGGGAGAGCATGTGACTCTTGATCTCAGGGTCGTGAGTCTGAGCCCCACATTGGGTGTAGAGATGACTTAATAAAATTATGGGAAAAACAAAAAAAACAAAAACAAAAAACCGTCCAGCCCTTCAAGATATTAGCCCTACCTGCAGGAGAATGGCCTTACCCTAAGATCTCAAAATGAAAACCTTATCAGAATACAACAGAATAACGGTTTGGTTTGGTTTCATTACAGTTACAGCAATAAAAACACCTCTTCTAATTACTTTGTATACAGTATCTCTTCATCCTTATGAGGCTGATACTGGTATCCCTCTTTTACAGATGAAAAAGCTACATCTTCCCATTAATCGCCAGCTGAAGGTCTCCGTCAACAAGGGAGCTGGCTAGGAACCTAGTTCTGATTCCAGAGCCCCTGTGCTCTACCACTTCTTAATAACTAGACCATTGTTATATCCTGTTTAGTAACGTGAATATTTAGAGACGGGCAACAGTCCTGGGCAGGATTAGTCACCTTCCTCCCCGACTCTTTTTTTAACCACTGCAAAACAACCAAAACGACGGGGCAGAGACTCTTAGGGACTGTGAGGGAACCAGATAATGCCGTACACGTTGCCCCCATCTGGACAAAGACTGGAGGTCCTAGCCTTCTGATGGCAGAAGAAGAGAAAAAACTCACTCTTCCTGCGCATGGTCTGGTCAAATTCTTGTCCCTCCCCTCCTCCCGGCAGATTGCGATTTCAGGCCTCTGGAGAAGGAGGAAGAATTGTGTTAACTTCTTGGCCCCAGACAAGAGCGTTTTTGAGAATCAGAACAACTCCAGGCTTTTCAGGGAGACCCCAAGCAAGAAGCCGGGGCTGTAGCACTTGTGGGCAGCTAGAAAGTAAATGTTATGTGAAACCACAGCTCTTAAATCATTGAGAAAACTCACGCTCCCTGCCCTGTGTTGCTCAAAAGCACATGTTTCTTTCTGTTTCACTTCAAAACACACACTGACAAGGCAAGTCACTGTTTAATTCATTACTTAAACATTTCCTGTCCTAAGCGGCACTTTTCAGGGACCCTCAGAGATAAGCAACTTTTGGGGAGTCTCTGTTCTTTCTTCACTGAAAATAAGACCGGAGGGGTGAAGGATGCTGGAGCTGACCCAGAGAGTCAGGAAATGTTAATGATTGCTCACATAACCTCTCCCCACCACCACCACCACCGCCGCCGCCGCCACCAGAAGTGTGAAAAACAGAGAAA